GCTAACATCTCTTATCAGAACCTAAAACAATAAACCAAGTTGGGGGCTTTAACCTGTCACTTTAAAGTCCTCTAACTCTACACCCTTCATTGAATATTTTCATATATATATATTAAAAAGTAGAATTCTTATTTTCCTCAGGATTAATTTTTTTTTATTGTTGCAAAGTAGGAAAGATAAGTTGAGAATATAATTGCATACATTGTTATACGGTTGCATATAAACAGTCGGGATCAAATATTTGGTGTCGTTGTCAGGATTAAAATTAAGAAAAATTAAAAATTATGTTTGCGATTTAGATTTTAATTGAAATTAAATTGTAACTTAATTTAAAACAAAATTTCTATTTTTAGCGCTAGAGGCTCCGCGCTTAAGCGCCAGTGATAGTTACTTGACGGGTTAATTCATTTTGACAAATTTTGAAGGGACGTTTGACGCACCTATTGACTAAAGAATGTGGTTATGACCACAAGAAACGAAAATATGGTTAAAAGACTTGTGAAAGGAGACATTCTTTGCAAAAAAAAAATTAAAAATTTTTAAAAATCTAAAAAAATTACAGAAATGACAGATCAAAATAATCAAAATGTTGAAATTCATCAAGAATTTAGACCATTAAGAGATTATGTTAACCTTACGGTAGATGAACTTCATTGTAGTATTCAAAAACCTACTGTATTGGCTAATTCATTTGAGCTTAAACCTGCTATTATCCAAATGGTATCAAATAATCAGTTTGGGGGATCACCAACTGAATATCTAAATTTACATCTTGTCAATTTTTTAGAATTGTGCGCTACATTTAAATACGATGGTGTATCAGATAATGCCATAAGACTTAGGTTATTTCATTTCTCACAGAGGGAAAAAGCTAAGGTTAGAGGACTTTAAAGTGACAGATTAAAGCCCCAATTTAGTTTATTGTTTTAGGTTTTGATACGCGATGTTGGCCCTTAGGGGGGGGCCCTTAGGTGGAGGGAATCGAGGGAACTCTAGAGTGAGAGTTGGTATCTTCCCTGCCTAGCCGGTCTTCAGAA